CCCCCCCCCCCCTTCACGAATGACTCACATTTTGCCCACACCGTTCCACAACCTATCTCCATCTTCCTCTTCCTTGATCTGCTCCAACGTCAAGTGAGTCCTCTTCCTCTGCGACTCGACCGTGTTGCACTGCGCCCTGACCATGTTGAGCTCTCGAGTGGATGTGAGCACTTGTTGTTGGATCTGCGCCAAGATCTTACAAGCGCGATGCGCGCAACGTCAGATCAGTCCATCGTCAGTGTCTGAGTGGGGGCCATGGCACTGGAAGAGCCATAGCCATAGCTATGGCAGCGCGCAGCAGCGGGAGGGTAACGAAGGATAGCATCCTGACTGACCTTGTGCAGAGCATCTTCGGGAATCTGAGAAGACATGGCCAGCTTTGATACTAGGGCACACACACGAATTGAATGCGTGCAGCAGCGTTGGAATAGGCGACTCGAGTTCCGAGATGCTTGCTTCACTTTTTGACGTATTCACGATTCTTGGCCAAGGGTGATGATGGTATAGCCATCCACGACAGCTGCCAGGACGCGAATCGTTGACTTGACTCTTTGATTGAGAGTCCATTACGGCACATACGAGCGAGCCGTGGCCCTCGAACCGCGCACCGAGTGGAGCCTTTAGCGGCGGCGAGCCTAAAGGTGACACGTGACTGATGAGAAGGCGTCTCGATCTCGTACGAGACTTGCTCTAAGCCGATTTCCCAGTCGCGCGGTATACTCAGCGCCATATTTTCCTATCGAGCATGCATGGGTCAAGGGAGCCCGTAATGTGCAGTTAGTTGCTGCTACGATCTTCCATCTCTCGTGCCTCCATGCTTGGGTTCAAAGGTCACACACAAAACCGGCGAAGTTTGGAGCATTCGAATCAGTTGTTCACTTTGGTCGTGGTCAAGCACGCACGCAATCTTTTTGAAGTGCGAGCGAAACAGAGTGAGTCAGGTCGGCAACGCGGGTTCCCCCCCCAATCGTGAGAGGTTCAAGACTTGCTCCCAGACTGGATTCCCGCAAAGTATCAGAAGCGCCTCAAGGGAAGACGCAACGCACGCTAGTCATGACAGCGCAAGCGCACCCATGCCGTGCGACGACACTTGCGCTTTCTCGTTCTTGCGTGGCTGTGAGTAGAAACGTCTCAGATTAGCCCCCCACATCCCCCCACCCCACCCCCCCCCCACATCGAACCCTTCTGCCCGTCAAGCCCTTCAAATGAAGCTTGCACGGTTCCTGGTGAGGTTCGAAGATCGACCCGAAAACCCGACGATTTGGCTCTTTTCGCTTTCTCATAAAACAGGCATTTGAGCAAGTCGCCGGGCAGCGCAACCTTTCTCCGATTGTGACGACTCTTTGGAAAGGGTCGAGAGACCCGGTGCAGAGACGTACGGGAGCTTGGAAGTGCGACACTTTTTCATGCTCGATTTCTGAATTGATTCTGGCAAAGAGCATTATTACGATCCACGTTTGACATCTCAAATACGATGCTTGTATGCGCTGCTATAGTCACGAGTGCTAGACTGTAGGAGGAGGAGTCTGAGTGAGATGAGGGTCAGGCTCCGGATGATCTCGCCGCAGGTCAGAAGCATTCGGCGTCTCTTGCGTTCAGAGCGACGACAAGCCTGCGAGTTTCTGACGAGGGGCCGGCCATTCACATTCACAGCGTCGAGCTTCGAGAGGCTGTCGTGAAAGATGAAGGAGATCAAAGAGAGGGATCTGTGCATGGCAGAAGCGAGCGAAGTGGGTAAGTCAAGAGTCAAGAGAGGGTGAGGTTCTTGGAGCCACGTGCTCGTTGAATCGAGTGGAGTCACGTGTCCGAGAATGCGTATGCGTGTGACTTGGAGACCCGGGTGAAAGTTAGGCGAGCGAGTCTGGAAAGCGTGTGTGTACTCATGACTGTATTCACGATTGTGATTGTACCTGTCTGTTGAGCTTGCATGTTGCTTCGCAGCTTCCTGTGCATCTTTGACACCCATGCGTGCTTCCTCCTCCTCAAGGCTGCAACGTCACCAGCATCAGACAAGCGGCACACCCACCCGCGCAACACACGTATCTATTCGCAACTGACTTGGTTCGTAGAAGCAGTCACAGTGCAAGAGAGACGCAATCATGTCGACGTTTGGAACGCACTTCCGGGTCACCACCTATGGGGAATCCCACTGCGAATCGGTTGGATGCATCGTGGATGGATGTCCGCCGGGTATGAAGCTCAGCAACGAGAATGTGCAGGTGCAACTGAGTCGACGCAGACCAGGCCAGAGCGACTTGACCACCCCCGTAAGTCCGCTCGCGTCTTCTCAGCACCCTGGCCCCTGCCACAGCCTGTGCTCACGCTCTCTCCCATCCGTCTCTTACACACGTTGCTGCTCTTGCCCAGCGAGACGAGAAGGACAAGGTGAGCATTCAGTCCGGCGTAGAGAAGGGCGTCACGCTGGGTACGCCCATCAGCATGCTAGTCAAGAACCAAGATCAGAGACCTAAAGATTATACGGACGAGACGTTGGATCTGTACCCGAGACCAAGCCATGCGGATTGGACTTATCTGGACAAGTACGGAGTCAAGGCCAGCTCGGGAGGTGGAAGGAGCTCGGCGAGGGAGACGATCGGTGAGTCAAAGCGCCAGCTTGAAGAGTGTACGGGCTGACGAGGCCACGTCGTGAGCTGCGTGTATGCAATTTAGTGCAAGGAAAGGGTGGGATAGGGCTGAGTATCGCGCTCGGGCTTCCGCTGGCTGTTGCCGCGTGCACTGCTGAGCACTCTCAAAGCTCGACCAACTGTTTTATCGATCGCTCACCAAGGCTGACGCCCGGGATACCCGCTCTCCTCGTAGGTCGAGTCGCCGCGGGAGCTGTGGCAGAAAAGTACCTCTACGAAGCATTCGGCGTCGAAATCGTCGCTTTCGTATCCTCTGTCGGCGCCGTGCACATCCCTCGCTTCCCTGGAGAGAAGCTGGCTTCAGAATCATCTGCCTCCAAAGCCACTTCCTCAAACGATGCGGCAATCGGCTCACATGCTGGAGCGGTGGATAACACGCTGGATTTAAGCGGGTTGAACGAGGACGAGATCCAGGAACCCCTGAGTAAAGAGTTCAGAAACTTGCTTGACAGCGTCACGAGACAAGAGGTGGACAAGGACGATGTGCGATGTCCCCACCCTTTGGCTGCAGAACGGATGAGACAGGTGAGCGAGCCAACAAGCCACGTCAAGGACCGCGAATGCTAACCAGCTGATGCATGATCCACTTTGGGCCGTCCTCCTTTCCCAGCGCATTTTGCTGGCCAAATCCAAGAACGACTCGATAGGCGGTACAGTGACATGCGTCATTCGCCGTGTTCCATCGGGGCTGGGGGAACCCTGTTTCGACAAGTTGGAAGCCAAGTTGGCCCACGCCATGTTGTCCATCCCAGCCACCAAAGCATTCGAGATCGGATCTGGCTTCAGAGGTACTGAGGTGCCCGGCAGCAAGCACAATGACGCCTTTGTTGAGAAGAATGGCAAGTTGGGAACAGAGACGAATTGGAGCGGAGGCATTCAGGGTGGCATTTCTAATGGCGAAGATATTTATTTCAGGTGAGTCCGCATCGATGAAGGAACAGCATTCGCCGCTGCGAGAGCGCCGAAGGTCTGGCCATTACGTCTCCCAGTAAGCAGTCGCTGATCGCAAAGCTCTGCTTTACCCTGTACACCCTGCGTGCCCCTTTGCGCGCGCTCAATGCAGAATCGGTTTCAAATCGCCGGCCACAATCTCTCAGGATCAAAAGACGGTTTCGTACACTGGCAAAGCAGGCGTACTTGCAACGCGGGGCAGACACGATCCATGCGTCGTTCCTCGCGCCGTGCCAATCGTGGAGAGCATGGCAGCCCTGGTACTCATCGACGCTCTTTTGGCTCAGGACGCTAGACATTTGGCAGCGACCAGGCTAGACAGACGCAATGTCCTCGATCTGCCAAAGAGCATGCGGTTGGAGGAAAAGGTCAAGCAGGAAGCTTCAAAGTAGATTGCGGTTGTCGTCAAGGCATACTCGACGCGCTCCAGCGGCGATTGGGAGCTGCATTTCGAACCATTTTACTGCAGCAAAGACGCGCTGATCGCATCGATTCGTTTGCAGAGCAACTACTGATTGAGAGAGTGCAGAATTGTGCAAAGTACTGAAGATGAGCTGATGGTACAAAAATTCCGAACGTGACCAGGCAAACACTTCATCTCCAGCCATGCGTCAAAGCTTGCTCGCGCCCATGGCATCCTTCTCCGCTGCTTCTTCTTTCTGGACCATGGCCCGCAGCAATTTACGAAGAACCTTTCCCTGGCGCGAACCGAGCCAGGTTGCGTTCGTGTCAGCCCGCTGATAGTAAGAAGAGTGATCGGATAACAAGCGCTCCATTGTTGTTACCAGATCGGCCGCATGACACTCACGCTAGGGGATACAGGTACAGCGTCGACGATTCGGATCCCGCCTCGCAGCTGTTTCTGCGCAGAAGCCTTGCGGGCCACAAAAGCTTGCAGTTCCTGCACGAGCTCCTCTGGCTCATTCGAGCTGTTCTGCACCTTGACTGTGGCATGAGAGGCACGCATTTCATGAGCACGAGTAAAATGACGCAAAGTAAGGTAGGTCAGCAGGCCGTGAAATACTCACTGTAAGCTCGTGGCAGCTCCGTCCCTTGCTTTCTATCGTAGATACCTATCACTCCCGCTTGGACAACTCTATATAAGGCGAGAAGGTGGATATTTGAGGACAGGTCACTCTCGTTCGCAATTTTCCAGTGCTCGCCAAGCAGGAAGCACTAACTTGGGGTGCGAAAGCAACAGACCTTCCAGCTCTGCTGGAGCCACTTGCCAACCTTTGTACTTGATCAGCTCTGCGGCAGGCGGGGGGCGAATTTCCAACGTCAGCCCGCTAGGAACATCATTGAAAGGTCACGGGATGCCGCAACGCTTCACCTTTGATGCGGTCGATGATCTGAGATTGGGACCAGAAGGTTCAGACGTTGATATTGGCACCCTGCACGACCTGTCATCAGAAAGGCCTACTCACAGTAAATTCGCCGCGCTTTGCATGGCAGAAGGAAAAGCTCAGCGGTGAGCACTGCGCCAAGGACGAAGTGGATCGCATGGCTCACTTCGTTTGCGAATACCACGTCGCCTGTTCTCAACCAGCCATCCGAAAAAGCTTCCTTGGTTGCTTGCGGATTTGCATGGTAGCCCTGCATAATGTTCGGGCCTCTGACCCACAACTCTCCGCTCTTGCCCCTCTCTACGTCTTTGCCAGATTCGGGGTCGACGATGCGAGCTTGCACAAAGGGTAGTATGTTGCCCACTGTCCCTGGTGTCGAGCCCGCAGCCAGTCCTAGACACCCCACCGTCGTTTCCGTCATTCCCCAACCCTGGCGAATATCCTCGATGCTGAATTTCTCGGCAAAGGCGACTTGCATGGCGGAGTCTAGAGGTGCCGCTCCGCATCTGATGGTCCTCACACTCTTGAGAGAATCTCGAGGAATGTCGGCGTTGGTCACCAGCATGGTGAAGACGGGAGGCACAAGTGATAGATCCGTGCAGCGCCCTTTTTGTGCTATCTGCAAGAATCTAGCTGGGTTGAATGAAGCCATGATGTGGATCGTGCCGCGGCGATAGATGGGCATGTGGATCATGAGGAGGAGAGCCATGGCGTGGAAGAATGGAAGAAATCCTATGCTTCTGACACCTCGATCGTACGCTCCTGGCGTGATGGAGATAATGTGACACATGGCTGCAATGTTGGAGTGGGAGATGGATACAGCTTTGGGCAGACCAGTCGTGCCGCTCGAGAAGGGCAGGTAGGCAACGCTAGAAGGATCCACCTCTCTAGGCTTTGCCTCACGAGCTTCTTCCGCGCTCCTCAAGCATTCCCGCCAAAATATCGTGCCATAGCCTACATGCGCATCCATGACGATGCACTGGCTCCACGTCGCTCCGCTCCTTGTTGCGAGACCGAGCAGCTTGCTGACACTGAATATCCTCACGGGCTTTGTCAGTCTGAGACAGTGGGAAAGCTCGTGCGTCGTGTATGCTGGATTGGCCAGAGCTACGGTGAGTCCAGCATACTGGGCTGCCAGCAAGGCGATGATAAATTGGATGGAATTGGGAAGAAGCAGCATCACGACCGAGCTTGCTGGGATTTGAGGATCTCGCATCAGGCCAGCGCCCAGACGCTCCGCGAGGACTTTGAGTTGGCCAAGTCTGGCACAGCGGCAAGGGAGCAAAAGACGTGTGAGCCAGTCGGCACTTTTTGGAGGGAGGGAGCGCACTCATGCCTCACTCACTTCCATTCCGTGCCATCCTTAGTGTCGATGAATACGACGTGCTCCTCGTCACCCTGTCCATCGCCCATCAGCAGACTCCAAACCGTCTTGGCAGTAGGTGGTGGAAATTGCTTGACCAGTTCGGAGCTGAAAATCTTGGTCTCAGCATCGTACACAGTCGGATTGAGCGGTGGCCCCTGCGATGACATGGTTGCGATTCCTTAGGATCAGGCAGGTCAGAGGTGCGTGTGGAAGAAAAGACTTGGTGCAATAGGCACAAAGGTGAATGAAGGTGGTTAGAAGATGCGGACCGCATCGAACCATCTACTTGCTTCGCGAGCGCATCAGTGCCAAGCGTGCGCTTCCGAGTGTGATTGTGATTGTAATTGTGATTGGAGCCAAACTTTGCCGGTGATTGCGAGGACATGTCCGAATCCAATCACACGGGTTGGACTCTCTGAAAGCGGGCTCGAGCTCCAACGTCCCATCCACACAAGAAGCGCTCATCAGGTCTGCCCGGTCTGAAAAGAAAGCGGGGTCCGCTTGGCGGTCTAGCCGGTCCGCTAGCTGCTGCTGCATGGGGCAAAGTGCGCGCGCAGTAGCGCTGCATGGTGAGTGGAGGTGCTGCAGGGACGGTGCGGGAGGTGGCGCGGCGCACACATGCTCGTGCGTCTCAAAAGGCAGCCAAGCGTCGGGCACAGGCCGCATCCTTAGCGCGGCAGTAGCGCGATCACTATCGGAGTGGACGTTCCCACGCTCCCGGCGCCCCGGCGTCTGCTGAAATTGGCTGATGAAGATCCACGACGGAATGCACTATTCACATTGTGAGGTGGGTGCGGGGTTTGTGCATCAGCATCGATTGCATCGCCCAGAATATCAAGACACTTCGGAACGGCATTGTGTTTGTCTTGAGCTTGCTTCCTGGCAAGCATGGGCCATTGCACGCGATACAAATACATGGAGGAATGCCAGGCTGAACTTCCCCAAGTCTTCCTTAGGCAGAACGCTATCACGATGCAGCAAGGCGGTCCATGCAAGCTCACTTCCGCTTGCCACTCTTCTTTCTCAAATGAGCCTCCTTGACCTTTTTAGGCATCTTGCTCTTCCTCTTCTCTCTCTGAGCTTCCTTGACCGCATTCTTCCTCTCCTTCTTCGCATCCCTATCCTCGTGCCTATGTCCTCTCGGCGCATGCGCGTGTCCTTCGTCGTCCGAAGAAGACTCGTCCTCGGATCCTTCGTCCTCAGATTCGTTGGAACTCGCTTGCAAATTCGGCTGGATGTAGTCCCGATCTTTCGAAGCTGGTAGACCCGTCACGTTGGCGTAGATGAGATCTTGACCACCCCCTGCCTTGACAATGTCCGTGTCCCTCTCTGGATCATAGACTTCATCTAGCGTTCGAGGGATATAAGAGGATTTGAAAACCGCCTCGTCCGATTCTTTCTCATCATGTCTTGGGTGCGCTCGGGCACTTGTGCTGGCACCGCCGACGCTCAACTCTAGTGCCGAGTCTGCAAGATCGTCGAGCTCGGCCTCTTTATCCATGATGCCTTCGAGCTCGCGCAGTAGCTGCTCATCGCTTTCTCCAGGGAGACGATCGTAGACTTCGATGGTAGCAAAAGGTCCGCGGATTGGCACGGCAGTCGTAGCCAGCTGATCACCTTGACGATCAAAAACCAAAATTTTGTCACCCCTTGGATCCTTTTGGTCCTCTTGACAGACCTCAAAAAATCTGTTGCCCACATCTTCTGCCCGAACAAAATTATCATAGTCGTCTCCCTCCTTTTCCAATCCTGCTCTACCGCCACTTCGCCTGCCTGCTGGATTTCTAATGATCCAATCGAATGTCCTCCGCAGACCCAAAGTCTTGACCCCACCGCGCTTCTTGAAGTAATCATCAACGTGCGAAATGTCTGCTCGGAGGAAGTCAAAGGCGGAGGGGTGGTCGTGCTCGACACTTTGACCCACGTCGATGATGTATAAATGCGAATCGTGGTATCTGGTTGACAATTGCGTGTGCCGACGAGGGGAAAGATGAGTGAGCGGGCAAGGCTCTCAGCAGCAAGGTGTCCGCAGTACTTACAGAACATTGTACTCGCTGAGATCTGCGTGTACGAGATGACACGCGTGGTACATGACCCTCATGGCAGTCACGCATTCCCTGTAAAGTCGCTCCCAGGTCCCACTTTCCTGCTGATCCACCAATTCCTCCGCATCCTTCAATCTTGGGCTCGCCCAGCCGTCTTTGCCTCCCAGGAACTGCATGACCAGCACGTGGTCTCTCAGCTCGATAGGTCTAGGACAACGTATACCCGCACTGACCAGCCTCTTTAGATTCCGCGCCTCCTTCTCTGCCCACATCTTGACCATCTTGCGAGGATTGTGGCGAGCGTAACCATGTCGAAAGCGGAACTCCCCCGAGACGTAGCGGTCGCGATCTTTGAAGACCAAGATGGAGGTTTTGAAAATCTTCAGAGCTACATTGCCTCCTCCTGCCAGGTGGCCGTTTGATGGATGGTGCATGACGCTAGCGTGTTTAGTCTGGTCATCGACCTCATCTCCTCTGGCAGGAGCGGGCGTCGTCGCATGGTACACATTCGCCTCTTTGCCCGTGCTGACCACCCCGTCGATCCGCTCTAGCGTGCCCTTGTTGAGCATCTTGAAGAGGATGGTGAGCGTTCTAGGATCCAGCACTTGCTGCTTCGTCGCTCTATCCGACTTGTCCCTGACCTTTCTGATCCCACCAACGCCCAGCGCCCCTTTACGGGGAACGTTGGTAGATAGAGCGCCCCCTGCGCTCGAAGACGGATCGTAGGCTTGCAAGATCTGCAGACGAGAGGAGAGGGAAGAGAGAGTCGAAGCGCTTGGTTGGAGTGCGGATGCGCCTAGGCCCAAGGTTTGCAGCGTAACAATGCGCGGAGGCTCGCAGCTTTCCACGCTCGAGGCTGCGTCTGAAGGGGCACTACTACGTGCGACGTCGGCCGCAGATCTGCCTGTATGCGCTTTGGGAGGAGGGGCCTTCGAAGTCGCGCCACCCGCTCGGTTCATCGCGGGCAATGGCACTGCTGTGGTGGATCGCGACTGAGCATTGCCCTGCGTGCTTCCGTCCGCCTTTGATTGATTGACCGCACCTCCGCTCATCTGTTGGCCTACGCGAGCGAGCTGCCTTGACCGGTTGTACGCTTTGGTAAAGTCTGGTGAAAAGGGGGAGCAGGAAGAAAGAGAGAGAGAGAGAGAGAGAGAGAAAGGGAGGGACGAGTGAGCACGTATGCGCCGGCATCCACACCGCACGCCCAGCCTTGTCTGCCAGACAACGACTCTGGTGGCGTGTATGCGTCCGAATTTCTCCCCGCTCATGCTGCCTCACCTCCTCTGGCCAAGTCCCAGTCTGCATCCTCGACTTTCCCAAAGCTGCTGATTTCGCTCTCCTCGTGCTCTAGCTCTTCCTGCTGATCAGCATCGTTCGGATCGATACCATGTTCCTCATACCACTTCCTCAGGTCCTCATCGTACGCGCCGCCCTCCTCCTCCTCCTCCTCCATCTCCTCATCATCCTTCTCCTCTCCGTGAAGCGCATCGTCAGCGACAGACCGAGGATACGAGGAGCGCGTATGGATGTCCACGTCTAGCGGCAGAGTTTCGTCATCGGGAGCGTCGGAGAATTGTGAAGCGGAAGGAGAAGCTTTGATGGAGCTGAGAGGCAGCGATGTTCGAGCTTGAGCTTCTAGCAACATCACTCAGCTCGATGTGGCAGTGGCAGCGGCAATAATGGCGGTGACTGTGAGTACTACGGGGCCTTGGGGCAGCCACGATGGGCTGGAGGGTGGGGATGTGTGCGCAATGAAGGCTGAGTGCGAATGTAGTTAGTTGGCTCGATAGCTACCTGCGTGCTCTCGCGACAGCGTCGGTGTCTCAGTCGTAGTCGTAGTCGTAGTCGTAAGTGATGAGGCTTGAGCTGTGCTGGGTTCAAATTGCACGTCGCCTGCTTGCTGCTGATGACCCTTGATCGAGATGGAGTCACGAGTGCACCCTCGGCTACCGCGGCCTGCAGCTTGCCTCTTTTCCAAATTTTGGACTCATATCTTGAATCAAGAATCAGAATCAATGAATCGGAATCAATTTTACGTTTGCTGTTTGGCACGTGACAAAGATTCCACATGCCCCGTGCGCGCGGGCGCGCACAGGCAGTCAGGCGTGACAAGGCGCGCGCTTGGAATCAAAATAATTAGTCACGAGTTGCCGATCGATGAGCGTGCGGGTGCTGCATGTGCATCTCTCGCACAGCAAAGCAAAACGAAGCGTACGAGGTACACGCAACTGTGACTCGGGCTCGTGATCTCCATCCACGACTCGTCATTCAATCAGCTTCCAACGCACTCACACTCACACGCACACGCACACGCGTCATTGTGAGGCGAGACGGGGTAGGCGCGCGAGGATGAGCTCTTCGAAGGCCAAGGCCAAGGAGCTTGTGGACGTCGTGGCGGAAAGGGTCAACAAGTCGATCGACGACGACATCGCCTCTCTCATGGATTCCTTTCGCGACATTGTGGGCCTGGCAGCTGTGAGTCCGATTCCGAGTCCGAGTTATGCGTGCACTCTGCTCTGCTCATGCCTGGCGAGGCGAGGCGAGGCGAGGCGCATACATGCGGGTCTCTATGCTCAACATCTTCATCTCGCTACCCGGGTTCACCCATTCCACACATTGCAGATCAGGGACAAGGATGCTTATCAAGCTACGCAGGATGGCATAGAGGCAGAGGCGAGAGCGCACAACATGGTCAGTCATCGCACCCAGACTCGTGTGTCGCTCAGCCCTTGCGCTCTCTCTCTCTCTCCCTCACCATTCCCCTCCCCTCCCCTCCCCTCCCACCCTCTGCCTCTCACTGAAACTCGCTTGCCCCCGCTCTCCACGCGCAGGTCAGAGCAGCTCAATCATTAACGCTCCTCTCGCATGCTCTCAAGCTGTCCCTCATCAACTCGCTCGAAGTCGTCGACAGCTCCTCTGCAGAGGTGCAATACCACTCGTCGAGCTCACACGAGACAGAATCGACGGCCAATCACTTCGTCGCGACCACTGTAACACCCAACGAGGAAGCGCGACGCTTGATTGGTGCCACAAAAGAAGAGCGCAAAAAGTGTTTCCAGCTTCTCGCATCGCTGGGCTTGGAACAGGTCTTCGATGCTGTGGAGGTTGAGCAGGAAAGTGAGGGAGAATTGCGCTCGGATGAGGAGGTGGAGAGCTTCACAGGAGATCGCGGTGCAGCAGCAGCGATCGCTGGACTCGTTGGCGCAGCGCAGCGTGATTCTTTGGTCCTTGGGCAAGATGCGGAGCCAGCAGCAGAGTCATTAGAAAGTGGTCCTGCTCAGCCATCATCTGCAACGCAGGCTGGTGCTTCCAACGCAAACGACACAGCCGTGCAAAGCGCAACGCAGATAGCGCAAGCTGACGATGTGATGGCAGGACTTGATGATCGAATCTCAGAAACGCTCGGAACACCGCCCAAAAAGTCAGACGGTGGCGGAGCGGAGGAAGATGCGGAAATGGAGGATGTCGAAGTAGGTTGATCCGCATTCAAGAAACCCGGTCCGTCTTCGCGTCTTTGCCAAATGGTCGCAAGGCTAGCTGCGACTACGGCAATCAGAATCTTGCTCCTGATGCTGCTGTGTCCGTAACGCCGAACAGACGTCGCCCCAAACCAAAGAGCGCAAGCCAGACTTCCTACCGACCTGCTTACCTCTGTCGACGGCCTCATACTAGCACGTTGTCATTGATTGCATGACCAATGCTCGTGATAAGGACAGCCGCAAGCACCATCATGGGACACGAAGATGCCTTTTCAATCGGTAACCACCAGCGCCAAGAGAACCTACATCGCCATCTCTCAACATCCAGAATACTAGCGGAGATATTCCGACGTCACCCTTATCTCTACATTTCGTCAAGGCTGAGCTGAGCTGGGCTTTGCAAGCACGTTGAGAATTCGAGGGGATTGTCTGCGAATCAGATCGCAGACGATCGTCAAGCGAGAGTCGACTTCTGCGGAGGTGGAATCGCCTGGCCCTCCCAGAGAGCAAAGGCACGAGCGATATGGTCTGGGCTGAGTCGAGGCAATCGAATTTTGTTCGTGTATCGATGCCGAGCTGCCCATCCTCACATGAGGCATGAGCGCATACGAGATTGACACAATGGTTGATTTCTATAGATGTTGTTTGTGTGCTTCAAACGCGTCGCACCGTCATTGCCCGGCCGGGTTTGAGTGACGCTGTCTAGACGCCCGGGTCTTGCCACGGAGCATTACCGACGCCCTTCGAGCGTGAAGCGAGCGCAGACTCTGATACCAGTCTCCCGTGCGGTTCGGAGATGAGGAGTTGGGCGGAATTGTTGCGAAAGCCTCATCAGGTACGTGGGTGATCGCGCCACCTACGCCTCATTGCCGCGGCCAGGTCGAGCGGGTACCTCGTGCTCCGCCTTTCCTGCTCAATGCTGCCGACGCCAGCAAGGCGCAACGGACAAGCGACGGCAAGTGAATCCTGGATGTCGAGCATGACTTTGCAGCCCTCGTGAAGCGCGACTCGTCTCTCAGCGCTGCGACTCGTATTCATCGTACTCAATTGTGAGTATGTCGCACTTGAACGCGTGCGTGCGCGCGCGTGTCCGATGACGCGTTTTTCGCACATTGGCGCGTGTCCGATGACTAAAAATGCTCCTTTCTCCATCAATTCGGACTCAATCTTGCTGCCGATTGTACAGGAAGAAGCGTCTGCTAGTGTAGAGCTCGAATATGGGGTCAAATAGCCAAAAAAGCCAAAATTGGAGCAAAAAAAGGTCCTACCCGGATTCGAACCGGGGTCATTGGTATTTCAATCTCAAAAACCAAGGTGCTAACCGCTACACTATAGAACCTTGGAAATTAAGGTTTTGGTGGCTTACCAACAGCGCAGACTGTCAGCTCCCGCGCTGAAACCTTAATTCTGATCGTTGCAGAATACCACGTTGCTCCATCGGCTCTGCTGGCTCAGACGACAAGCGCTGGAGCATCTGCGTAGCCAATATCCTTTGGCGCATTCTTGATTGATGTGCTCAGCTCTCGATATTAGATACGGCATCGAGCTCGAGGCGTCCCTCAATGGGCGTTCAGACAGTCATAGTTGTAAGTCCACACCTCGTTTGATCGAAGAAGCGGCCGGGGAGATCGACGCGTTCTCAATTGGCATTTGGTACGCCGCGGGTACGCTCCCGTGTGCACGGGAGGTGCGGGTAACAAATCATGGGCGCGGCGCGTCCAGCACCCTGACTCTTGACTCAAGGCTCAAGGCTCAAGACTCACGACTGTCGCGCCGTTTATATTCAGATTTATCTTAAGTATCAACTCGTGAGTCGTGACTCGCGACCCGCCGACTTAGGATTTTGAATGAAGACTTTGGCTGCTGCTGCTGCTGCTACCGATGTACATCTTTCATTCTTGATTCGTGATTCAAAATCTCACATCGCGCGCGAGGGCCAATTTGTATCTTGATGCATGCATGCATATGGGCGATGAGAGCTCCGAAGGCGCAGCAGACGCGCCCACGCAACCATCAGGAAAAGAAGAGAGAAAAAAAGTTTGGTGCGCGCGCAAGGCCTCACGCTGAAGGCGCAGTGTATAGCGCCCGCGCAGCAGCACGAAGGTGAGTTGCACGCGCTCGACTGGGCTGCTGCGATGGCTGGCAAGCGCAAGTCACAGTGGATCGCAGCTTTGCAGGCATCCTTCTCGACCTCCAACCCCGCCAAGCCCTTTCCCACTGAAAAACCCCATAAAAAAGCCGACGTCAGACAAAGCAGAGTCGTGTGCGAGTGTTTGTGCTTCAGATCAACACCCACGCTCTTCGCTGCCGACGACGATCGACGAGATATAAGCCCAGTATAAGAAAAAGATTTCAGGTGAGCAGAAGCGCAGCACAGCGCAGCATTTCCATACGGCCTGCGTATGCTCCTTCGACTGACCGTTCGACCCGCTCACCTCACGCTTCTCCTTGCCTGCTCTTCGTCGCCGTTCATGTCTGCCGCGACATGGACAGAAAAAATCCGAAAAAGCGCAGAAAACCACGTCCAAGGCGTTCGATCAGGCTCACCTTGCGCTGACTCGCACTAGAGATCAGCATACACGCGACGAATACACGCAGTGAGTGTGCAGGGCGGAGGGGCGAACTCGACAGTAGTTGCGACAGTAGCTGTGAGGTGTCTCACAAGGGAGCCTCGCATGTCGATGCGTGCCATTGATGGCTTGCTGGGTGGTGTGCGCCCGATGACTGCGTCTGTGCGCGCCCTCTCCTCTCTCTGACGCCTGCGCTGCTTGGCCCTCTTCCAGAACGACAACCGCCATCCCACTTTAATCAACCTTTTTCTTCTCCAATTCCAAAATGTCTGCTGTCGCTTCACCCGCAGCAGCTCCCAGTGAGCTCCCCAAGCCCACCGAGCAGCCGGCTGCCGGTGAGGGCCAAGCAGCGGCTGCGACCGCTACCGAGAGCAACGGCGACAAGCCTACCGCTGATGGCGAGACCGCAAAGGCTGCCGAAGCCGGTGGCGCCGCAGACACCAACGCTCGCAACACGAACAGCAGCAACGACAACTCTCAACAGCCGAACACGAGCTTGTACGTAGGAGAGCTGGACCCTTCAGTCACTGAGGCAATGCTCTTCGAGATCTTCAACATGATCGGACCAGTCGCCTCCATTCGTGTGTGCCGCGATGCCGTCACTCGTCGCTCGCTCGGCTATGCTTACGTCAACTTCCTCAACGCCTCTGATGGTGAGTGTCAATTTGAGAAAGGGTGCACATGAGCTCAGAGTGTAGTCCGCAGCGATCTGACTCGTCAACGCATCTCATCGCAGGCGAGCGGGCCCTTGAGCAGCTCAACTACTCGCTTATCCGCAACCGCCCGTGCCGCATCATGTGGTCGCAGCGTGACCCTTCGCAACGCCGCACCGGGCAGGGCAACATCTTCATCAAGAACCTTGATGAGGCCATCGACAACAAGGCTCTGCACGACACCTTTGCTGCGTTCGGAAACATTCTCTCCTGCAAAGTTGCCATTGGCGAGGGCGGCTCTCTTGGCTACGGGTTCGTCCACTACGAGACTGCCGAGGCTGCTGACAACGCCATCAAGCATGTCAATGGCATGCTGCTGAACGACAAGAAGGTGTTCGTCGGTCACCACGTGCCGAAGAAGGAACGCCAGCAAAAGATCGAAGAAGCTCGCGCGCGCTTCACCAACGTGTTTGTCAAGAACCTCGACCTCGAGGTCACGCAAGAGCAGTTTGAGGAACTATTCAACAAGTATGGCCCAGTCACCTCTGCTGCTCTGTCTGTGGACGACGAAGGCAAGAGTCGCGGGTTCGGCTTTGTCAATTACCAGGATCACGAGCACGCTCAGAAGGCTGTAGACGAGCTGCACGACACCGAGCACAATGGACAAAAGCTGTTCGTCGCTCGTGCGCAAAAGAAGACCGAGCGTGAGGACGAGCTGCGCCGCTCGTACGAGGCTGCCAAGAACGAGAAGCTGTCGAAATTCCAGGGCGTCAACCTGTACCTCAAAAACATCCCAGAAGACTTTGATGATGAGCGTCTGCGCGAAGAATTTGCACCTTTTGGCACCATCACTAGCTGCAAGATCATGCGCGCACCCTCTGGCGTCAGCCGCGGATTCGGTTTCGTCTGCTACTCGGCGCCGGATGAGGCCAACAAGGCGGTCACAGAGATGAATGGCAAGATGCTGGACAACAAGCCGCTATACGTTGCTTTGGCCCAGCGCAAGGATGTGCGTCGTCAGCAGCTCGAGGCTCAGGTCATGCAGCGCAACCAGCTGCGTCTTCAACAGTGGGCTGCGACTGTCGGTGCTGCGCCCGGCTATCCTGGAGGCGCTAATGGTGCTCCCATGTACTATCCGCCTGCTGGATTTGCTGGTCAACCCGGAGCTGGTATGCCAGGACGTCCTCGTTACGCGCCTGCGGGCATGATGCCTCAAGGTTTCCCTCAAGCTACTCCTTACGGCCAGCCCCCCGGCCAATTCCCCGGCCAAATGATGGGAGGACCTCCCGGATACCGTGGACCTCGCCCTCCTCGTGGCGCTGTTCCAGGTGGCGTGCCTGGTGGTGTTCCTCTCCCAGCCGGTGCTCGTCCTCCTGGAGGACTTGCTAACGGTCAGCCTCCTCGTCCCAATGGCTTGCCAAACGGCGCTCCCATTCCAGGACGTGGCATTCCTGTTCCCGGTGCTCGCGGTCCGGGCGCTGGTCGCCCTCAGGCCTCTCCTAGTGCTCAACCTGCTCTCACCGCCGCTGCTCTTGCCAACGCCGGCCCAGAGGAGCAGAAGCAGATCCTCGGAGAGGCTCTCTACCCTCGCATCAAGCAGAGCCACGATGCTCTTGCTGGCAAGCTCACTGGTATGCTTCTCGAGCTCACCACCAGCGAGCTGCTTCACCTTCTCGAGGATGAGGAGAGCCTCAACGCCAAGGTCGACGAGGCTCTCGAGGTGCTCCGCGAGTTTGAGGCTGCTGAGGCACAAGGCCAGCAGTAGATGTTTCCCTCCATGATCAAGCGACCGCGCAACGAAGCGAGTCACGATCTTTTCCATGCCCACCTTCCATAGCCACCATGTCGTTGCGCATTCGTTCGCGACTGTTTGCACACAGCCACAACCCGCTTTTCGGCGTCGCGCGAGTCTCGTCTGCCGGTGTCCGTTCGCATCCACGTGAAGCAGCTGTACGCACATCAGCCGAGCTCTGAATCGAATTGTGCCTTGAGAAAACATCATTCGCGTGAGATTTAGCTACATACTTTAAAATGCAGCAAGCTTTCCAATCGTTCGGTGAGATGGCACCTTAGCCCGCCTGATGGTGATTGAGAAACGGATATCACGCAAGGAAAAAGAGGAATAAGAGGCAAGTAATGTCATTCGCACGAAGCCTCGGACATGAGCAGCCACTCGAATTGGTCAGCGCCCTCAGTGAACTGCGATATTCTCGGCGAATCCTGAACAACCTCGGCACTGCAGCGCGCGGGTTTTTGCCCTCTCCACCCGTCCATAAACATCGCATCGTCGTCGACCGGAAGGCAACCAAGCGTCCCCACCTTTCTACGCGCGACAAATATGTACATTGAGTCTTCTTCGTCTTGAGCTTCTTGCGTGCTGCCGTCGGACTGGCTGGTCGCAAAGGCTGGCGCTGTTCCCTGTGTTGTGGTGATGTGCGTCTCATGCAGATGGCGTGCTGGAGCTGGAGCTGGAGCTGAGATGCTCTCATCGAGTTCAAGGTGCGATCTTCTGCGGCCGAAACGATCCCACTCGGTCCAAGGATCTTGCGATGTTGATAAGCTTCGAATGCCTTGTTCAGCTTTCGCCTTCGTCGGCGATGCGTCATTGTAGGGCAAGCCTGTGTGCGAGCGTTTCCGAAAGCGGACTGGCTCAAAATCGAACCAGGTTCCGAACGCTGTCCAGAATGGCTGCTCTTTGATCAGAGACCGCACTTTGTACGAGATTAGCACCAGCGGACTTGTGGCGTTTCCGCCGCTGTCCAATTTCGCCGAGTCACCGAAGCCAGACCGCGACGCCAAGTCGGTGAGCCAGACGAGCGTCCTGAGCAGGCTAGGAAGTAATTCGGGAAAGTAAACGAGGTCTGAGCAGACGATGTGGGTGAGCTTGTTCTCATCGTGTATATCGTTGATCTCGTCCTTGAGCGCCTGCACGGCAGGTGAGGAGCCCCATGGAAGCGGCCTGACGTGCAGCTCGACCGACCGTCTGATCTTGCGGACAGCATCGACGGCAGCAGCTTCTTCGTGCTCCTTGCGCTGCGAACTTGAATCGAAACCAGCCAGACCTGCATTTCGTCGCAAAAGCGGACAGACATTGTCCAAGTCGGTGAGGAACAATCTCGCAGGTGAGTGCGGCAGAGTTGAGGAGGAAGCGTGACCATCTGACGCGATGTGTCGCTGCCTCGAGGAAGCGTGATGGCCCTCGAGCTGGATGGCCAAGTGCAGTCCCACGTACCCTGCGCCACTGCCAAGCTCGACAATGTTGGAGCTGCGTGCAGTGTTTCGCAAAGTTTCACGAGTACCGTCATTGGCGAAGAGGTCGCATGGCGGATCGAACTCTATGCGATCGGGCTGTTGGGGCCGCAGATAGAGCTGCATGAGGTACGCTGCTTCCCTTGAGCCGCGTGGACGCCACGAGGATCTGAAGATTTGTCAGTTTGACGAGGGACGTGCGATGTGCTCGCCGTGACTGCCTCGCTCACCAGATTCGCCCGGCAATGCCGAACTCTCGAATGTCTGTCGCCGAGTCCGTCCTCCAGTCCTGGCCAGGCCTTTCCAAGTTGTGCACATTTTCTGCCACTGCTGCGCTCTCGGGGTCAGATCCCGCTTCCGCTGCGACCGCACGGAGAGGCTTCTCAGCAGCAGACGCCTTGCCCCACCTCCGTCCCGGAGCGGAGGGATGTATGCGTAGACCTGTAGCGGGGAAATTTGGATCCGACATGATGCAAACGTGCTTGCTTACACCCAGCAGCGATCTGAATCAATGTGTCTCTGGAGTGGTCAGTGCATCATCCCACAGCCAGCCGACGCCTTGAAGGTGGACGCCGCGAGTCTTGAGTCTTGAGTGTGGAAGTACAAAGCAAAGGTTGTAGCGCGCCGCACTCGATCGCGTGAGTAAGTCTGACCGCATATATTTATGGGATCACGCGAATTTGTATCAAATGTGAATCATGAATCAGAATGAATCGTGAATGTGGGCGCGTGACCGGCCCAACCGCAGCGCGCGTGCACGCCGCCGTCGGTCATGTCCGCGGACTTTCGCCGTGGCACGCGCGCGGGCGCTCCACCGCGGCCGAAACACACCTCGCACGGACGGGCATGCGTGCACTCGAGTCACACTCCGTGACTTCATTGACTCGTTGGCTATCACAGTCGTGAGTGACGGTGACTCCATCACTTCACGCTCACGACTCGCACTGTGACCCGCCCTCGCCCTCGCACTCGCAATCGCCCTCGCACTCGCCCTCGCCCTCGCCCTCGCACTCGCACTCGCACTTGCGACTCTTGACTCGGACACGCAACTCGATGGGAGTAAATGGCGAGTGTGAGTGGCTTCGTCATCATCGTATCCTCTCGCGCAGCGCCAACGAGCACATCAACCCGACAGCAACAGGAGCGAAGCCTTCAACAACTCTTCTCCCAGGCAGTCTCCGCCAAGCGAGCCATCCATCATGACATCCCTCGCTCCCACACTCTCCACCATTCCCGGCACACCTCCTGCATCGGCTACTCCATCGGCCATCAACTCGCCGCGCGGTCGCTCAGACAGTCTGGAAGATGTCAGGCATGGTGCGAGTCCCCTCGCGAATCGCACCGCAAGGCCCTTCTACTCTTCCAGCGGCACCTCCAGCTCGAGCTCGAGCTCGCATCCGCTCTCCAGAAGAGTCAAGGAGATCCTCTTGGCACCGCCGCCAACCGAGCAAGAAATGCTGGAAACGCGTCAAGCGCTGGATCAAATCGGGGAGGCTTACTCGACTTCGACCGCGAACGCGAATGGCGAGAGGAGCCATCCTAGCGTAACGCCTAAAGCTGCGACCACCGTGGACTTGGAACGAGCGAGAAGGCGCTTGGATCGCGATTTGAGGCGAGATGCCGATCGAGCTGCCAAGGATTTTCAAAAGGTGTTGGGCGGCGTGGATCGAGTGAGTGGTGGAGCTGATGTGCACGGCTGTGGTGGACTCGGTGTAGCCTGCGCTGCGCTGCTGAGCACGTCGGTGCGAGACAAGGCCGAGGACAAAGCCGAAGGATGGTAGACTGCCGCATACATCCCACCTCTGAGCGCCTTGCGATGGCCACGGAAAGGGTGCTGATGATTCAATTCTGTGCCGTCCTTCTCTTCTGCACTGCGTACACCTCAGGCCCTGGCTGCTTTGGTAGCTAACAACGAAGCAATGCACGCCGCAGTCAACGACGTCGATGCTCGCCTGCACGCCGCTTCCGTCGCCAGCGCTCATTTGAGGGAACATGCCTCCGGTCTGAACAGGCAGAGGTGAGTGTATGCGCATCGAAAAGGCGCAGCTTATTCCCCCCTTCAGCATCGCTAAGGAGCCTTGACCGCACCGATGACCTTTCGCAGAAGCACCGCGGAGAATCAGAGGCAGATCCTGCAACTCTTCCTCCAGCGCTTCACTCTCTCAGCAGACGAGACGAACAGCATCTACTCCCGCGATATGCCTGTGGGCGCCGAGCTGTTTCGTACGATGGACAGGATTGAAAAGATACGCAGCGACTGTCAGGTCCTGCTCGTGGGACGCGAAGTGGGAGAGAAGGGCGGCATGCGTGCAGGGTGAGCGTCGGTGTGCTGTTGCTAGTTGTGAGAGAGAGACGCCTTTCATCTGACTTGACTCTACACTCGTCTCCCCAACGCATCAGCATGGATCTGATGGATACGACGGCGACCCAACTTGATGCTGCGCAGAATAAGATTGCTCGTTGGCTTTCGTTCGAGTTCCGACAGCCGCCCCGAGACGGTATGGAGGTGGGGCCTGCTATGAGGGAATCGGTCAAGCGGCTCGAGGCCCGACCTGATCTGCTCAGGTGAGGTGCTCGCATAGCACGACTCGTACCACTCATCACTCACGCTTTCTCGCCTGCTGCGGTAGATCTGCATTGCAAGTCCTGGCTGGAACGAGGGCAACTTTTCTCTCCCAAGCATTCCACGCAGCACTCACACAAGGCGGTCCAGCACCCTCCTACCTGCCTCGGCCTATCGAGGTGCACGCGCACGACCCCCAAAGATATGTGGGAGATATGCTGGCATGGGTGCATCAATCCGTAGCTTCAGAAAGGGAATTCCTGATCGGTCTCTTTGGACGAGAAGAGGAAGAGGTCAAAATCGGCAGGAGAGTTGGCGAGAGGAGGAAAGGCATAGAGAGCGTTGACTGGTCCAGCGCGACACTGAGCAGCGGAGAGAGAGAGACAGAGAGAAGGGTGCGGGAAGTGCTAGATCGAGTGATGGAAGGGTGCGCCCGGCCGCTCAAGGTACGTTGCTTGTATGCATGCCTGGCGAACATTTGCTGATAACCCCTGATTGCGCACGTCTCACGTCTGACAGCTACGAATTGAACAGACAGTCTCCTCTCAAGAGGGTTGCATCACTTCGTTCCGGCTCGCAAGTCTTGTGCACTTTTATCACATCACGATGGAACGGACGATCGGGACCAAGGCTGCTCTCAGTAGGATCCTTAGAGAGTAAGTTCACCGCAAGCCTCCGCGCCGAGCAGCGTCGGCGGCGGCGGCGGCTGACCAGGCGCCTCCATCCTCTACGCCCAGAATCAGCGCCACGTCGTACGAGTCCTTCCTCTCTACCCTGGATCGGCAAGCTCAAGGATTGGAACGCTTTGCTTCGGGCCCTCAAGCGGACTTGAGAGCGCCGCCTCCTTTGCTGGGCGCTTCCAGCACGCTCAAGGAGCTCTTAGCTGTCCATCACTCATCCATCTCCGAACAGGACCAGTTCGGTAACGCGCTGCCCTTGATGGGCCAATCCCGCGCGCCAACAGGTCCTAGTCAGCCTGATGAAGCGCGCGAGGCGGATCCCATGGAAAGGGTGCTCAGCAAGCTTGTGGATCCCATGCTTGAGATGTGTGCCCGCATGGCAGAAGTGCACATCAAGAAGGTATCGAGGAAATCGGAAAGCTTGGCGAATTGGGAGGCTGCCATCTTTTTGTGCAATTGTTTCGCGCACGTCAAGGTGAGCAGTCCCATCTTTGGCTTTCTGCCTGCCTGATGTATAGCTGATGCGCCTCGCTTCCTCTTGCCTCAAGACAATCCTTGAGCCTTACGCTTTTGCAGCCATGGCCACCGACAAGATTTTGAGCTGCATTCGCGACCAGATCAAAGACCTAATCACCGCTCATGTGAGTCGATGCCGATCACGCTCCGCATGCTTCGCTTAGAAGTCACTAACCTGATCACGGTCCATTTGCTTCTATGCGCTACCTCTAGCATGGGCAACTCAAAAAGGAAAGCGGCCTTGAACCTCTATTGACTGCCATCGAGGCAAGACCCACCGGGGTAAGTTTGCCCTACTATTCCTTCTGTTGAATGCACTGCGCAATTCTGGAGAATGCACCTAATCATTCACAACGCCTTCGCCAAATCCAATCCAGGCTACTCTCGCATCCCAGACTGCTTCATCGCCTGCTGCTGTTCGATCTTGCTTGTCGACCTTCGACGTCTTCCTCAATTCGAGCTCGTTGGTCGACCCCGCACCTTTGAAGCCAATCTCAGATCCAAGTATCAGGAGTCAGATACAGAGTGGCGCCCTCCACCTGTTGGCCAGGGATTACGAAATCATCGTCGCAGAATTGCGGAAAGAGGATGGTGCTCCAGCGTCGGATGCGAACTCAGCCCTGCTTCAGAGGAGTCCCATGGATGTTAGATTGTTGCTCGGGCTCGACATTTGAGCATCTCGCTCGTCTCGACCGGTTCTTGGGTGGTACAGATACGGTACAGAGGCAAATGTATAAATCAACATGGCGGTGCGCATTGACACGCAATGACAGGGCTACGTCGAGTTGGAGGCTTCATTGTGCTGACGTTACAAGAGCATTAGAGAGCGGGCACAACGCGCACCAGTCTGATTCGCGGACGCCCGGAGATATCGGACCAGCCTGATCGCAGACATTCGACAGCTCGAAAGAGTCATCGCATTGGTGAGCATCGCTCGCCCATTCAAACGGAGTTCATACGAGAGGTGAATGAGGTAGAACCCGCTCCCGCTTGGCACATCATCAGTCAAAGTGGGGCCGTGCCGCTTAGGACCCGTGTGCTGCGCTGGTAGCCTCACGCTATATGCGCCGCTTGTCATGCACGATTTGCGGCGCCGCTCGATCGCCTCAGCGCAAGGATGCACATCCACAGCAGGTGGGCGCAGCTGGCGCATGCGGCTGAACAGAGGCGGTTTGGCGGCGCGTAAAGGGTTGCGAGTAGAGTGTGACATGGAAGCCCCACAGAGTCCACGCAGCCAATCTCGCTGTGCGAGGCAGATGGGCGTGATCGAGCGTCTCGCCCGAGGTGCACAGCCAAGCGCGCGACTACTGCCGCCACGCTTCCGATCCACCCTGTCTCACTACCACCACATCAACATAATAATCCCGCCATTGTCTCTCGTTTGTGTCATCTGCAAGCTGCCATCCTGTCAGGAGCAGTGCCTATGTGCACTAAGTGTGGAGGTAGGAGCTGGCTCAGGTGGTCATGCGGGTAGTCCCATCCTTCTGCAGTGGAGTGGTGACGGCTGGTCGGTGACCCGTTGGCTCTGAGCCCACATGTCATGGGTTACTGTCTGCTGGCATGGATGGTGGGCTCGAGATTGCAGATGATGCGGTGCTAGTATGGAAATGGACTAGCTGCTTGCCAGGTTGCGATGCTGACACTGCTCTATTCTTGCCAGGATTAGGATGGTTCAGCTTGCTCACATGCTGCCGGGATGCAGCAGTGGTGTCCTGCGTTGGCCAGCCCATCAATGCCATGCAGGACAGATCTGGGAAGTGGGCGTGTGCTGGAAGACACAGAGAGGGCGTAGTCTGGGGAGCGTTGGCAGCGTATCCCAACAGGTTCGACGGGACCTGGGCTAGGTGGCGCTAAGCGTCACTTTTGCTAGAGATGAGATTGTATCGACATCCATGTGTGGTAGGGCAGGCGCTTGTCGTCTCGCCCTCCACGCGGTCGATCTCTGAAGCACTTGTGGTCGCGTTGGAATGCATAGAGACACGAGGGCAAGGGAAGGAGCCTCGACGGGACAGAATTGCCTCCTACCCAGCAGGCGAGTAGTCCCTTTCTTGCGCTGTTTCTGGTTGCCTTGTAGCTGACACCTCGTCAATCTCCGGCTGCGTGTCCGCCATACGCTCCGTTCGCTTCGGCGCCGTCCAAATTGTTGACTTGCACTTCGTGCTCTTTGTGTTGCATTTGTACTGCTTCGATCAATGTATGCGGTTCCCCACGGTTAGTATTGCCGATGGACGTTACGTCTTTCGGCTGGTGGCTGCACGTACTTCCTTTGTGAACAAAGCTGCGCGAGGCCTAAGTAGAGCTCAGAGCTTCAAGTGTTGCTTCACACGTCAAAGACGTTCGTATAATCCAAGGTACGGAAACAGGAGCACCGCTTGGTTGTCCATGGGGCGGTGACGCTCCAAAAGATGCGTCTTGCAGGCGGGCTCAAAAGCAGACAAAGAGTCAGAGTCAAAAGTGCCGATGTCCCGCTGTTCTAGCTGCGATGGATGGCCACAAAGAGGGTGTGTGACCGGTTGCGATGCGTCTCGTTCCCGAAACTGCAAAGTGCGTCTTGCATTCACGATTTCGGCGTGCAAAGTCTCCCGACTGATGATCAAGTCGTGATCGAGGGGTCGGTCTGGACCAGATCAGCGCGCAGACGGGAGAACCGGCAAGTCCATATCGCGGCCTTACTCTGGTCTGCTGCTTTGCTGCAGCATTGTCGCATTCGTGAATGTGATTTTCTTGTATGATCAGTGGGCCTTTCTTGAGTGACGGCATTTGGCGATTATCTTGTCTCAACTGTCCTTACAATCCTCTTCGCGACCTGTTTTTGCCACCGTCATGCACCAGCTGTCCTCAATTCCCGACGGACATCAGCGAGCATCCGCTCTCCAGTGCATAGACAGTCAGGAGGCCTTGAAAGATGCCGGTGTCAGATTTTCGGACCACAGGTCTACGCATATATCCCTCCAGTTCAGGACGGAGGTGGACGAAGGGTGTGCAGGCTGCTGAGACGACTCACTTTGTGCTCCACCATCTCGAGCCAACGATGAGAGGCGCGACACTGTGGCCAACACATACAAGCCGAAAGATAAGGCGGTCCGCAGACTGATAATACAGCCTCACTTTGCATTGCGAAGACGATGCAGTAGTAGACTTCTCGTTGGAGACGCACTCTTCCACAGATAATGGCGGGACACGGACGCAGAAGGCGCACCTGCGAGGTGCACCATCTTCATGAAACTCGTTCGCTCGACACCACAGTCAAAGTATGGGCCTCCGCTACTGAAAAAGAGGGCTACCACAATAATGCCACGATAAGCCACCTTGAAATTAAGACTACGACCCGGAAACGTGTCCGCTCCGCCCGGTGCGGGGTGTCCCCCAGATCGTCTGTAAACGAATGACCAGCAGTAAGTAGCACATTCGACACCTACGGAAATGACGTCTGGCTGCGGATGCCAAAAAAGCTAGGGAACCTGCCTATAGATGCGACACACACCGCCATACACCACCGCCACGTCGAAACACCACTCCACAGCAAGTCTGACTTCATGCGGGACGTCCCCCTTGTTTCAAATGAATGCGTATATGCATGCGTCAACTCAGACTGCGATTGCTCGGCGCCTACGCTGACGGGTGAAACACCACGAGTCATGGTCTGCCAGGGCGCTTTGAAGCGCGTGCTACGGTGCGCCCGATGTGACCTTTTCCTCCGTCACTGAATGCGCGCAGCTGGACGTGGACCAGATGATGGTGCACGGATCACTGAATGCTCTCTGGCCGGTCCAAGAATAGGTCATCATGGAGAGCGACGACGACAAGGTGATGATGTGTCAACAAGCAGGACAATCACCAAATGCAGATAGATGCACACGCTCATGCAAAGATTGCGCGCGCTTCCTGGGGTGCTGGCAGTCTGATGAGTGTAGCAGTCTCCCCTAGTAGCTATACTGTACCGGTATAGCTGCTGCATGGTCCTTCTTAATGAGGACGCGTGCGCGCGGCGCGCTTGCCGATTTTTCCGTGCAAATTAGTCGGGCACTTCAACCGCCCGATGAGCCGTGAGTCGTGAAGTACAAAAAGCTGCTCCGCAACGTCCTTATAGTATTCGTTTGCTACGCGCGCGCGTCATTTGATTGCATGTGTGCATATGCATGCTGCATGCGATTGCTACGCGCCTGTCATTCACGATTGTTTACATATATGCGTTTGCTTAGCGCGCGTCACTGCGTGTGCATCTGCGTTTGCTAAAAAAGGAGGCGCCTGACACTCAGCACATGCTGACCCACATTCAGATTACTCGCACCCCATTTCCTGTGCCAGCAAACACGCGCAATTCTCTGACTCACTCTCCCTCACACACGACACTCTAAGATGCCCTTCTCTTATGCTACAATTCACTTTGTGCACAATGGGGCTTCCAACTACAATTCAAACAGCCCTGTTACCTCTGAAACTCACTTGACCAAGAGCAGGTCTAATTTATGCAAAAATGTGTATACCGGGACTGCTGTGACTCCCAGCTGCGCAATCGCCGCGCCGCATGTCTTGCTTGACCCCCGCAAGCCAGCGCGCCGCACGCCATGGCATATGCTCGACCACCGCGCATGCCCGCCGCACCGCATGTCTTGCTCGACCACCGCGCATGCGCACCACGCTGCGCACGTAGCCCACCGCCGCGCCCCTCACCGTATCCAGAATACGCCCTGCTGTGAGTCAGGGTAAATCTTGGGGCCTTGTAGATGAGTATCTTAGGGTAATTAGGGGGCCATGGCTCTACTCACCAAAGCGGCCAGGCGTCACATGTGGAATTGGCCTTGCCGAAATGTCTGCCTAGTTGAACGTACATGCTAGCTAGCTTTTGCTATGCCTAAGAGTGTGGATCACACTCCGCAACTTTAAGGGTGCAGCACACCATGTTGGTGCGGTCATGCGAGTCAGGGAAGAAGCAAAATGGTCCTCTTCCGATATGCATGTCTTGCCACCATGCTGAGCCTCTACTAATCCCCCTTATTGGCGTCGGTAGACGGCAGAAATGGCTTTCAATACCGCTGTGACCGACTTTCGAGGAAGGCGATGCCTCTCCCACCAGTTGCCCCATCACCGCGACAAGCAATGACGAGTGCGACTCCCGAGCACGTGCCCTTGACAGCGGCGCACATATCAAATGTTCGGCGGTCTCTATCTACAAACGCGGCTGTCAATACAGTACCTGACACGTTGGGCACCAGGTCTGATCCGGGGTGTAATGCGTGGACTTTCCCATGCCTACAGTATGCAGGACCGGATCACCATTGCAATGCTTGCCACAGTCGTCCTTCATAAAAGGAAGTCGGCGCTGGATCGAGGGTGCAATAACGATCTGAGCGCCTAAACGATTCTGCCTGTGATCTCGGATTGCGCGTGACCAACAACAAGAACAGCCCCTTGCTGACGACGAAGCGAAGTCTAGCATGGGCATTGCTGGAAGCGGCGCGACCCAGTTCTCTTCCGAGCCCTTCCTTTCGTGATTGGCTACGATAAGCAGCGCTACCCGAGCGATTAATCGATGCTCCCAGCCCTTCCGTGCTAATCCGGCCCGCCGCCCACTTCAGCCTTCAAATCTCTCCCCCGGCCCGCACAGTCGCTTCTATGATACTAACAACTACAAAGCAGGTCGAACCCGCCTGTCACCAACGGCCCGACCTCGACTCTATCGATCATCTGTCTCATCGACAATCTCACCGACAATCTCACCTTCATCCTCTAATGGACTCATTCACGGCCCGCCAGCCCAACTCGCCGCGCCACTGAAACCA